AAGCAGGTGGATCACCTTAGGTCAGGAGTTCGAGACCAGCCTGGCCAACCTGGTGAAACCCCCTTTCTACTAAAAATACAAAAAATTAGCTGGGCATGGTGGTGGGCACCTGTAATCCCAGCTAACTGGGAGGCTGAGGCAGGAGAATTGTTTGAACCTGGGAGGTGGAGGTTGCAGTGAGCCGGGATCATGTCATTGCACTCCAGCCTGGGCAACAAGAGTGAAACTCAATTATCAAAGGAAAAAAAAAAAAGCTCACTTATAAAGAATTTTTCACACTGGAGATTACAAGTTTGCTTTTTTTTTTTTTGAGACAAAGTCTTACTCTGGTCCCCTAGGCTGCCAGGCTGAAGTGCAATGGCGTGATCTCGGCTCATTGCAACCTCCGCCTCCCAGGTTCAAGCGATTCTCCTGCCTCAGCCTACTGAGTAGCTGTGATTACAGGTGCCTGGAAGCATCCCCAGCTAATTTTTCTATTTTTACTAAAGATGGGGTTTCACTATGTTGGCTAGGCTGGTCTCGAACTCTTGACCTCAGGTGATTGGCCCGCCTCGGCCTCCCAAAGTGCTGGGATTACAGGTGTGAGCTACCTCACCTGGCCAGAAGATTGCTTTTAAGTGTTAGAAAGATGCTAAGGTGTTTGGTTTGCTCTTGTTGCTAATACAGGAAGAGCTGAGGAACACAGGCTTATGAAAAAGGAATATGGCAGTTAAGGAAAGCAGCCTCAGAGGCTGCTAAGTAAACAGTCATCTCTGGCTCTGAAAGTTTCTTGCTTTTCTTTTTGTTTAACTTTTTAGCAACAAGAAAAGTTCCAGTAGTGTTTAATAGAAAGACTTCTTTATCGCAAATGGCCAGACCTGCTGGTGTATAGACCTAACAAGCCTGCCCATGTCAAGACTGTAAGGTTTCTATCTGAGCCTAGGGAGGACAGGGAGATCATCCAGGGTCCTGTGGTCAGGGCCATTGGAGAAAGCCACTAAATGTCAGTAGGCCATCTCTCCAGAACAGTGATGCTCAAACTTCTGCAAACATTAGAATCGCTTGAGACCTTATTAATGCATATTGCTGGACCCCAACCCCAAATTTTCTGATTCAGTGGATCTGGGGTAGGCCCAATAATTTGTCTTCCTTAATTTGCCAGGTGAGGATGATGCTGGTTTGGGGCCCATCTTTTGAGAACCTTTGGAGCAAACAGCTGGGAGCTGTGGTGCCTGTAGCGTGGCTCGTGCCCAGCTGTGTCCACCAGCCCCCTCCCTCCTATCAACTCAGCTGGACAAAAGTACACTGCTAGGCCGGGCACTGTGGCTCATGGCTATAATCCCAACACTTTGGGAGGCTGAGGCGGGTGGGTCACAAGGTCAAAAGATCGAGACCATCCTGGCCAACATGGTGAAACCCTGTCTCTACTAAAAATACAAAAATTAACTGGGTGTGGTGGCATGCGCCTGTAATCCCAGCTACTCGGGAAGCTGAGGCAGGAGAATCGCTTGAACCCGGAGGCAGAGGTTGCAGTGAGCGGAGATCACACCACTGCACTCCAGCCTGGCAACAGACCAAGACTCCGTCTCAAAATAAATAAATAAATCCACTGCTAGCATTGGGCTTTGAGGAAGAACACCTACAGCTGGGTTCCCCGACCGCATTCCTGAGGAAGGTTTCTGATTTGAAATGGTTCTTCCTCTCAAAGGGCCCTGCTGCCCACTGGTTCTGACTTCTTCCCTGGCTATGCCCCGAAACTGTGGGACAGCAGTGGGACAGCCCTACCACACAAGCCAGCTGGAGCTCAGTGTCCCCCAGGAAGGCTCCAACATACCAGCTTCCAGGGGAAAGCAGTTCTACTTTTTGCCATCTCCACCTCTCCCCGGATGATGGGCAGCTTTTTTCCAGGGGGAAAAATCCTCCACTGGAGAGCCAGGCTGAGGTGCCATGGGGATTTGGAGTCGAGAGTAGAGACTCCCCCTCTGGAGTCCTCCCCCTCCCACCACCAAAGTCAGCTTCCTTTATTCTTTGGCAGTGCATGCGGACAAATATTTAAAAGCTGCAGAAAAAGAACCGAATGCCTGGCCTGCGGAGCTGGGTCTCGGGGCAGTGGCACCTCCGCCCCCGTGTTGATTACCTTCAGCTGCTGATTCGTCCGCTTTAGGAACTGGATCTCCTCATTGTGCTTCTTCTCCTCCACCTGCCGCCTCTCGCTCTCCCGCTTCTCAGTGGCTTCACATTTTGCCTTCTGCTCGTTCACTTGCCTCTCCAGGTCTCTCTTTTCTGTCTCCAATTCTGCAATCTAAGGACAGAATGCCCAGTCATCCTGGGATGTGGCCAGGTGGACGGAAAGGCCTGAGAGCCTGGATGGAAGGGACATGGGACACAAGGAATTGCCAGGGTATGTACTGCCACCCAGTGGGAGGTCAGTGCCTGGCATGGAGCGTCCACAGCAGAGACAACTCTCCCAAGACCAGGCTGGCCATCAAACTCAGCCAGGGGTCCCTTACTGAGGTGATGCAGGTCCAGGGGTCTTGAATGTCAGGAGAGCAGCTTAGGAGGCCAGCAGGTAGTGCTGGAATGACAAGCACATGACCCTGAGGTTTACAGAAGAGTCAGGGGCCCAAGGGTCCTGGCAATCCCCACTCACTTTCCTCTCCATGTCTGCTTTCCCCTGCTCAGCCTGCAGTGCTTTCCTCATGCCAAACGCCACGCTGCTCTCGTACAAGGTCTGGTAGGCAGCGATGGTCATGCGGATCTCGTCCCGGACGCGCAGCAGCAGCAGTCCCCTCTCTGCACAGTTGATGGTGACCTCCCGGATCAACTCATCTTCCAATGCACACATACCACGAGATCAGACAGGGTGCGGGGAGAAGACCTCGCTATTTCTATTGCAAATACTCTTCCTCTGGGGAAGGGTATTAGGGTGTTCTCGCTCAGAGACAAAGTACAAGACCTCAGAGAAGGACCTCAGAGAGGGTCCCTTCAATGGCCCAAAGAACCTTGCCATGCAAGGTTCACTCCTCTGCACTTGGCACTTGGGAGTAACACAGTCAGCCAGCCTGGGTCGGCCAGGGCAGAGGGAGACAAGACGCTCTGGTGTGTTTACAGCCCCGGACCCCCTCCCTTCTGGCCTTATGTAAAAACTGGCTACTATTAGAAAAACAAAAAAACTGCCTTTGGCCAGGTTCAGTGGCTCATGCCTATAATCCCACCACTTTGGGAGGCAGAGGTGGGTGCATCATGAGGTAAAGAGATCAAGGCCATCCTGGCCAACATGGTGAAACCCCGTCTCTATTAAAAATACAAAAATTTGCCAGGCATGGTGGCAGGCACCTGTAGTCCCAGCTACTCAGGAGGCTGAGGCAAGAGAATCGCTTCAACCCTGGGGGCAGAGGTTGCAGTGAGCCGAGATTGCACCACTGCACTCCAGCCTGGGTGATGGGGAGAGATTGACCCTACCCCCCCTCCCAAAAAAGAAAAAAAACTGACTTTTTCTGTTTAAATATGGTGGCTGTTTTTTGTCTTTTTGAGACAGGGTCTCGCTCCGTCTCCCAGGCTGGAGTGCAATGGCATTATCTCGGCTCACTGCAACCTCTGCCTCCTGGGTTCAAGCGATTCTCCTGCCTCAGGCTCCCAAATAGCTGAGGTTACAGGTGCCTGCCACCACTCCCAGCTAATTTTTTTATTTTTAGTAGAGACGGGGTTTCACCAGGTTGGCCAGGCTGGTCTCGAACTCCTGACCTCAGTTGATCCACCCGCCTCAGCCTCCCAAAGTGCTGGGACTACAGGCATGAGCCATTGTGCCCGGCCCATTGGCTGTTTTCAAGCAGCTGGGACATACTGTGTGCCCCCTTGGCTGCATTGGTTTGGGTCTGGAAAAGCCAGGGTCTAGAGCTTGCCCACCTATCTCCCCATAAATGCTGACCTGGAGGGCAAACCATAATCACACACAGATAGGGAAGCCTGCTAGACGCTGCAGCTGCCTGAGGGTTTGGAGATGGTTTGCAGATCAGCGTCTATGAAGGCCAGTGAGACTGGGCTGGGGACAGCCATTTGACACCAGCACTCAAGAAGGTGCATGTTAAATCTCTCGTGTATGTTGGTTAACAAAAAATTACAAGATTTTTCTGGACCAAGGGCCAAAGAGTGATGAATGGATGTAAATACTGAACATTAATCTTTCTGATTAAAAAAAATAGCACATGCTTATTATAGAAATCTCTGAAAAAAAAAAAAAAAAAAAAAAAAAAAAAAAAAAAAAAAAAAAAAAAAAAAAAAAAAAAAAAAAAACAGATGGAAGTTCTCGTCTTCCTCCAAACATCTGCTAAGGGTGAGGAACTCGAGTTGCCAAGAATACAGTGGTTGACAGCTGGAGGACTTGCAGAAGAGGCTGGGCTAGGAAGGGGAAGGGGCCATTTAGCTGTTGCTGGGTGGGTCAGGCAGGGGGAGAAGAGGGGATTCCAGCATGAGGTGGGCTCCAGCTCCAGGGTACTCAGGCTTGGATTTGTGCTGAAGATGAAGGGAAGGGAGCAGCAGAGTGTGTAGTGCCCACCCCTCACCTGGCTCACTCACCAAAGCACTGTGAGTAGAGTTCCCTGCGGACAGGGCAGATGCCTGTTTCCCTGGCCTGCCGCTGCTGCAGCTTTAAGTCTAACTGTTCCTGGAGGTGCACCACATCCATCCTGGTGCTGGGGGTGCTGGACACCTGCTGGATCCATAGCTGCGTGTCTTCCACCCACTCCCTGTGGTAGACACAGCGAGGCTGAGCAAAACCTATTGACTTGAGGCTTCCTAGCACATGAGGAGAGAGGGCCCTTTGAGCCCCCTGCCTGAGAATTCTCCATCCCAAGGGGTGTGAGGCTCCAAAGCCACACCCACCATGCTGCCTCCACAGGGACCTTGGGAATGAGTGGGTGGTGGGCAATTTCCACTGTGGCAAGGGGCCGCTGTGAAATCATCCCCCACTGTCCCAGATCTTACCCTCCCAACATGTTGAAGACCAATTTTTGATTGTTGCTTGATCTGAAGAGTAGGAATTACCCACCAATTATGGGGTGGGAAAACAGGACATCATAAACCTTGTGGGAGCCAGAAAGAGGCAGATGTGTGTATCAGGGGTGGGGAGGTTCTCGAAGGTGTGTGCCTGCATGGGCCCCCATAACAAACCTTGTGCCGGAGGTGGCCAGGCTGTGGAATCACAGGGAGAAAGTTTGAAGGCAGAACTGCCATGGGAAAGAGGATTTGTGTCATTGGTGGGAGGGAATCGACTGACAAGTTACCCCTGTCCTTTGACCTCTATCTCAGAGGAGATGACAGTCTCTCTTTGACTGTTTCCCTTTTCCTCATAGACTTACAAACTGTGCTGTCAATTTATTACATAAACATAGTTGAAAAAGGCATGTCCATGATTAAGGTGGCTGCAGAAGAAAAAGCAAGGAAAGGAGATCATGTTGGGGAAGGCTGCTCTTCTGCAGAGAATTCTCAAGGAAGGCCTCCTGGAAGAAATGATACCGGAGCAAGACCTGAGTGAAGAAATGAAAGGAACTAAGGGAATATCAAGGGAAGAGCATCTTTGGCAGTGAAAACACCAGCTGTCAGACCCCTGTGGTGGGAGAGTGATGAGGTGCTCCAGAAATAGCAAGTGAGGCCCCTGTGGATTCAGCACAGCGAACGAGAAACAGAATAACAGGAGATAAGGTCAGGGATGTATCATAGACCAGATCATGCCACATCTTCCAGGCCATTGTAAGGACTTTTGATTTTAGTCTGACATGGGAAGCTACGAAAGAGTTTCTGCCAGAGACTGGCATGATCTGACTTATGACTTAGGGGCTGTATAGAAGATAGACTGGAGGAGCAGAGTGGAAGCAGCATTTCAGAGGGGAGGCCATTGCAGCCGTGTGAGTGGCCACCAGTGGCTAGGAGCAAGATGGTGGAAGCAGAGGTGATGAAAAGTGGTTGGATTTGGGAAAGAATTTGAAGGTAGAGCGAAAAGAATGTGACGAAGGATAGGACACGTGGTGTGAGAGTGATCAAAAGGAATAAAAGGGGGCTTGAGTCCCTAGTAAAAAGGAGAAGACATGGAATGAGCAGACTGGGGGAGGAAGAAATTGTGATTGTTGAAGAAATATGTTGAGTTTGAGATGTCTATTAGATATCTTCACGAAGATAATGAGGAAGTAGAAGACTATATGGCCTGGAGTTTAGTGGACAGGACAGAGCTCTCTCCTCTCCTCTGCACATTTGGGAGCCATCGGCCTATAGGTGGTATCTAAAGCCATGAGATTGGGTGAGGGCATCCAGGAAATGAGGGTAGATTGAGAAGAGGTCTCCCACCACCCTGCCAGGATCCAGCCGTAGGTAAGTTCTAGCAGCTCTGTGATACTGGGAGGAAACCCCAGCCAGGAACAGAGGCAGAGTACCTCCTCCCACACTCCCAAAATCCAGGATGCAAAAGCAGAGGCATTCTCCCAGCCACTGCTCCTACTTTCTTACCTCGGGGGTAGGATGGCATTCAGGATTTCTTCTGCCTGCTTTGTAGGATCTGGGACACACGAAGTTGCGGGGAGCTTGGTCTTGGGTGGTTGTGGGACTGGACCTGAGGGTCCAGGCTGCTGGGGGCTGACTTTCAGTGCCCGAGCCTGAGATGAAGGCACAAGTGAGAGCAGGAAGTGGTTCAGGAGCTCAGCTCTACACATCCCCCAGCTCCAGAATGCTCCAGGACTTCTGCACAGCCCTCCTCTCTTCCTAGCCACTTTGGATCGGTCTTCTCCGCAGAAATTATGTCACAGAGCTGAAGGAGGCCATGAAGTCTAGTCCCAACTCAATGCTTGTACAGGTGTTCCCGGCACAGGTGCTTAGGCACATGCTTTCACACCTCTGGTGATGGGGAAATCACTACCTCATCTATTCTTGGACCCAGGTACTATGAAGAAGAGTGAGCCCCATCCATCTCCCTGTGACCTTCTTCCCCATCCTAAATCTGCCCTCTGGGGTCACACCCAACATCTGGGCTTACACCCAACATCTAGGCTTCCTATACAATCCTCTCACCCTCCTTCCCCGACTTCCCAATTCCTTTTACTCCCAGTCTCTGCAATCCCTGTCCCTTGGGATTCCTGACCCTCAATGCAGGAATGTGTCTTTCCCCATCGGAGCTTAGAGGCTCCTTTGTCTCCTGAGCCGCCGTCCTTACCTTGGGGCTCCGTTTCTCCGTGTTCCTGCTCACCAGCACCGGGGTGTCGTACTTGAGCAAAGAGTCTGCGGGGGGAATCATGGCGGCGGCAGGAGTAGCAGCCCAGCAGCGGCCCCCTCCAGTATGGGCCTTGTTTGTCGTCACCATGGAAACCACCCTCCCCCCCGCCCCTGCGCTTCTTGGCCTGGGCGGAGCTTCAAAGTGGGGCGGGGCCAACAGCCCACGAGTTTCATCCTGTGCCTCCTGGGCAGAAACGTCTGGTGCTTGGCTTCTTAGGCCTTCTGCTCACCGGATCGCCCGTGTACTCTTGGAAGCAAGGGAAACGGCGGTTCGAGTACTGATGCTGCGTCTAGCTCGCGATTTGAATGAAATGGACAGATCACCTTTGTCGTGCCCCAGTTTTGTCGCCTGAAATACAGGAGTCATCTCCTGACTCCTCATGAAGGGTTAAGGGATAATTCCAAAGGAAGTCATCTGGAGTTCCTAGGTTTTTTGAAGGTTTTTGTTTGTTTGTTTTGTTTTGTTTTGTTTTTTAAATTGAGATGGAGTCTTGCTCTGCAGCCCAGGCTAGAGTGCAGTGGTGCGATCTCGGCTCACTGCAACCTCAGCCTCCTGGGTTCAAATGATTCTCCTGCTTCAGCCTCCCGAATACCTGGGACTACAGGGGCGCACCTCATGCCCAGCTAATTTTTGTATTTTTAGTAGAGACAGGGTTTCACCATGTTAGCCAGGCTGCTCTTGAACTCCTGACCTCGTAATCCGCCTGCCTCACTCTCCTAAAGTGCTGGGATTAAAGGCATGAGCCACTGCGCCCGGCATGAAATATTTTTCTAATTAAATGGAGAAATGACAATGTAGGGGCTGATAAGAAAGTTCCCCTTTGCCCCCTGAAGATTCGATCAAAAATCAATTCAAAGACAGATTAATTGGAGAAAAGGCATACAAATGTATTTAAAATGTATACATGGGGAGAATCACAGCATGATTACCCACCCTGAAAAGGGTTCAGAAGTTTGTATACCCTCCTGATAAAACAGGTTTAAGGGGGTGAGAGAAGGAGGCATTCTGTTCAGGGATCACTAGGGAGAATGAATGGATAAGGGGACAGAGATAAATTTGTAAATATTTTTTGTTTTATTTTGCTTTGGTTTTTTTGAAGACAGGGTCTCACTCTGTAGCCCTGGCTGGAGTGCAGTGGTGAGATCATGGCTCACTACAGCCTCCAACTCCTGGCTCAAGCGATCCTCCTGTCGCTTCTGGAACCACAGTTTTGAGCCACCAGCCCCTGACAATTTAATTTTTTATAGAGACAGAGTCTTGCTATGTTGGGCAGGTTGATCTCAAACTCCTGACTTCAAGCGATTTTCCTGTCTTGGCCTCCGAAAGCATTGGAATTACAGGCTGCTGCCACTGTGCTCAGCTGTAAATAGCTCTTTTTGACAGTCTAAGCGTCTCTGGTCAGGTGTGATTACATTATTAGGAGGAGAAGAAAGAAACAATTATTCCTTTTGGTAGTCTGGATGTTAGATAAAGTCCTGTGCTTTGGGAGAGACGGTGAGTTCGAGGAAGGAACATCGAGGCTTCTTCAGTTCAGCAAGTCAATGTGCCTTATTTTGGGGTTTCGGTTTCTGAGCTCCAACAGCATGGCAGAAAGTTTAGGAAACAGAAGAGGAAAAGCTAATGATTTGACCACGGGTTCTCAACTCTGATTGCATTTCCATTTCTTTCTCCCTTCTATTTCCAAATGTAAATGTAATTACAGTTTGTGCACAATTTTGTATCCTGCTTTATCATTAACAAGTCTTTTAGAGTTTGTAAATGGTTTACTAATGGCCACATAACACCCATTAATTTGGCTAACTTCCCTACTGCTGAACATTTACATTGTTTCCACGTTTTGTAATTACTAATAACGTGACAACAAACAGCCTTGAGAGGTTTGCTTTTTTCCAGGTTTTTTTTCGTGATGTCTCTGTTGCCCAGGCTGAAGTGCAGTGGTGCAATCCCCACTCACTGCAAGCTACGCCTCCCGGGTTCAAGCGATTCTCTTGCCTCAGTCTCCCAAATAGCTGGGATTATAGGCGTGCGCCACCACACCAGGCTAATTTTTGTATTTTTAGTAGAGACAGGGTTTCGCTGTGTTGGCCAGGCTGGTCTTGAACGCCTGACCTCAAGTGATCCGCCTGCCTCAGCCTACGAAAGTGCTGGCATTACTGATGTGAGCCACCGCACCCAGCCCTGCTTTTTTTTTTTCTTCTTTTTTTTTATAATTTTTTTTTTGAACATAAAAAAATATTTTAACATTAAAGACAGGGTTTCACTATATTGGTCAGGCTGGTCTTGAACTCCCGACCTCAGGTGATCCACCCGCCTTGGCCTCCAAAGTGCTTGGATTACAGGCATGAGCCACCACGCCCGGCCAAAGAATACTTTTTTTTTTTTTTTTTTTTTTGAGACGGAGTCTTGCTCTGTCGCCCAGCCTGGCTGGTGCAATCTTGGTTCACTGCAACCTCTGCCTCCCAGGTTTAAGCGGTTCTCCTGCCTCAGCCTCCTGAGTAGCTGGGACTACAGGTGTATGCCACCACGCGCGGCTAATTTTTGTATTTTTAGTAGAGACAGGGTTTTACTATGTTGGTCAGGCTGGTCTTGAACTCTTGACCTTGTGATCCACCCACCTCAGCCTCCCAAGTGCTGGGATTACAGGCGTGAGCCACCGCGCCAGGCCAGAAGTTTGTTTTTGAAACCTGAAACTCCCGCCACCCAACCTGGTCACTGACCACGCTCACTAGGGAGTCATCACCTGTTTAACCTCTCTGCCGCGAAGATTTCTGGGAGCCGGGGCACCCCGGAAGCGGAAATCCAGGAGTCAAACTCGTCATTTCCTTTAGCTAGAGGAGCTCAACGGATCTGTTCTCTTTCGCTCAGGCAAAATCACAGAATGAAGGCAGTGAAGAGCGAACGGGAGCGAGGGAGCCGGCGAAGACACCGGGACGGGGACGTGGTGTTGCCGGCGACGGTGGTCGTGAAGCAGGAGCGTCTCAGCCCGGAAGCCGCACCTCCCGCCCACCGTCGTCCGGACCACTCCGGCGGTAGCCCGTCCCCGCCGGCCAGCGAGCTGAGCCGCCCGGGCCACCGCGGGAACCGAGCCCGAGGAGTTAGCCGGTAAGTGGGGAGCAGCCCAGGATGGACCTTGGGTTGGGCTCATTCAGAAAGGCGGGCAGGGCTAGCGTCCGAAACAGGTTTTGAATGCTGGGTGCAGGTAGCCCGGACCTAATCCTGAGGCGGTTGAGAGTGATCCAGTCGTGCCTGTGTTATGCGTGCTCTGTCACTTGCATTATAGCTCGGTGTTCAACGCCTAATGCCTAACCTGCAGGATCCCGCCCCTCCATTCCTGTGTCCCCAGCACGTCGCAAAGTGTGGCCCAGCAGATAGCGCTGATAATCTGTAAAATTGGAATGAGATTCTCCTCATCCCGAATGGAGTCCGGGCGTTGTCTTTACAGTTACCTGCCCAAAAGGTTTTCACGTCGAAAAAAAAAAAAAAAAAAAAAAAAAAAAAAAAAAAAAAAAAAAAAAAAAGTTACTTCACATTGATTTATGCGTTCATTCAGCATAGTTTTTCTGAGTGCCTGTTAAGTGTTAAAGACTGCCCCAGGTTTTGGGGCTGCAAGGGTGATTCACTTAGATGGTCTTCACCGTTTCCAAATCTAGCCCTGAGACAGACAATAACAAGAAAAATAAAATAGTTTCAGTTAGTAACAAGTATTTTCGACAGGTTAAAACAGTAATGTAATAGAGATTGGAGAGAAGAGGGAGGAGGCCTCTCTAAAGAGGTGCCATTTGAACTGCGACCTGACTGATAGGAATGATCCAGCCTCTGAAAGATCCAGGCAGAGGAAACAACATGTGCAAAGCACTTGAAGTAGAATGAATCATGATTGAAATGGGAAAAAGCCAGTGTCGGTGGACTATAGTGGTCAAGCAGGTGGGTGATAGGAATGAGATGAAATAGGGAGCAAGTGGAACCACAGGATGGATGGATTGTTAGTGATGGTAGGGGTGTTGGTGGCGAGGGGTCAGGAGTCAAAGGTGATTTCTGGATGGTGATGCCAATTAACAAGATGGCAAAGAGTAGGAGAGGAAAGGTTTTTGAAGGCTTGGGAATTAATAGCTATGTTATCTAAGTGAGAAGGTTCAGTAGAGAGTTGTCTTTGTGAGTATGGAATGCAAGGGAGATGTTGGGGCTAGGAAAGTGAACCTCGTGACTTTAATGTGTCTGGCAGAGACCTTCACAAATGTGTTTGTGTTAGTAGGTAAGCCTGATACTGGAAGCTAATTTTTATGGGGGAAGGGAAATTGAGTAAAATCCTGTATGTACCATGCTCTGTATAGGTCCCCACCCAAAAAGAAAAACAAGTCCTCAGGGAGAAGAAGCAAGTCTCCCCGGAGTAAGAGGACCCGAAGTCCTCACCACTCAACAGTCAAAGTGAAGCAGGTAAGTGGATTGGGGTGTTTTGATGTTGGGGCCACATTGAGAGCCTTTTCCTATCATAGCTAGAGAGGGCTGTGTATGTGTATGTGTATTGTGTTTGTGTGTGTGTGTGTGCACTTGCCGACATTTCTACCTGTACTTCCAATGGGCTTTTCTGAAAACTGGGTATATTTCTTTTTTTCTGCTTGTTTGCTGAAATTCACCTTTTTATTTTGAGATTATTGTTGGTTCACATGCAGCTGTCAGAAATAATTCAGAAAGATATACTCTGCTTGGTTTCTCCCAGTGGTAACATCTATTCATAACAGAACTGTGGTACAACATCACCATCAGAATATTGACATCAATATAGTCAAGATAACATTTCCTTCACCACAAGGAATACCTCTTGTTCTCCTTTTGTAGCCACACCCGCTTATCTCCCACCTTTATCCTTCTTTAACTTCTGGCAACTTCTAATCCATTCTTCATTTCTGTAATGTTTTCATTTCAAGAATATTACATAAATGGAATCATACAATGTGTAACCTAATTTAGGATTGTCTTTCTTCACTCAGCAGAATCCTTCAGAGATTGATTCAGGTTGCATCTCTCAGTAGTTTGTTCCATTTTATTTCTGAGTGATATCCAATAGCATGAATTTAGCCACTCATTAAAGAACATCTGGCTTGTTTCCATTTTTTGGCTATTACACATAAAGCTGCTATATAGACATTTGTGTATAGGATTATATGCGAACATAAGAGTTCATTTCTCTGGGATAAATGCTCAGAAATGCAATTGCTGGATTGTATGGTAGTTGCAGGTTTAATTTTTTTTTTTTTTTTTT